CTCGCCCCCACCCTCCCGCCTCCGCCCTGCCCGCCACCGCGTGTGTCGGAAGTCTTCGTGATCACCGCTGTGCACCTTGACTTGTAGACATATTTTAATAGCAAGAAATCTTTATTGGCTTTTTTTTAACAAAATCATTTTTAAAAACAGAAGCCTCCCTCTAGAAGTATTACTCCAATGCTTTGAAAATCATCTGTAACACTAACCCAATAAAAATAATGCAATTAATAAAGCATCAGATGAGCTGGGAAGTACAAATTTTGTCAATGGGAAAATACATAGAAATCTAAAAGAAGCTGCTTCTTGTGTTAAATCTCTCTAAGGCAACCGAGAGGCACGTCCTCTGCAAGTCCCCTCTCCTGCATGGACCCCACACTGGGGCCTGAGGTCCTATCTCTGTGGCATTCGCACGTCCAGGGGTCCCAGAATGGCTGCATTCGAATCTCTCGGTCAAAACAAGTCTCAGCCACCACAGAGCTGGGTCTGCGCCCCCGTGGGGCCAGCCTGTCGGACTCAGTGGCCACAGCACCCGAGACTTCCTGCTTTGGGGGCCGTGTCGCCTGAAACAGAGGAAAAGTGTTGCTGCATTTAAAAGCCATTTTAATCCTGAGATTGGGGGGGGCACGAAGTCCTTCCGCCCCTGCACCCCCACCCCACCCCTGGGCAGGAGGCGAGAATGAGGGGCTGCGCCTGGGCCTCTGACTGCATGTGTCCGCCCTGCGTCTGTCTGTGTCTGGAGGTTTGAGTTCCAGGCCTCACAGCACAGGGCCTGCCCCTCCCCGCCCTCCCCCCTGCAGCGCCCACACCGCAGGGAGCCGCCGCAGGACGGGCCAGGTTTCTGGGCATAAATCAGGTCCCAGTAGGAAGTGGCCCAGGAGCTTGATCAGGCAGCGGGAGCTTGACCCCACTGCACCCAGGGGCCCCTTCTCCTGCCCCTGTGCCCCCTACCTTCCTATCTCCCCTCCCCCGATGTTCCCTGTGTGGATGTGGGAGGGGCGGGGGACCAGGACAACCAGTCACCCTGTGGGCACCCAGTGGGACGGTGGGGGAGCACGGCGGCCGCTCCCCCCAGCCCGGCCGTAGTACCTCCCCTCACCCGTGGCAACACCTCCAGGAAGCCCTCCCAGAGGGCCCCCCACCAGTTACCACCAGCCACCTCCCTGTCTGCCTCCCGAGGAGGTGACCTTGCACTGGGGCTTTGGGGGCGGCACCTTCCAGGTGATTGCGAGCAATTGGGTGCTGCAGACAGGAAGAGCCTCTGCAGGCCTGTGAGAAGGGGCCCTGTCTGCCCCGTCGCTGAGTCTGTGGTGGGCAGAGTGGCGGTGAGCATGGCCCTGCAGTCCCCCCTGCTTTCTGTGCTCCTCGGGCTGGCTGGGGCCCTGCACGGCGCCACCCCAGGTAAGCTCTTCCAATGGTCTCTCATCACGTCCCCCACCGCGCCCTCCTCCCGTGCACTCGGCGTCCCCACCCCGGCTCCAGCCTGGGGACACCCCTTCCCAGGAGGGAGGAGTTGGGGATGCAGAGTGTGACTCTCCCGCAGAGCCTGTCACAAAACAGCCAGCGCCCGGCGTTGGTGACATCTGGGTGCAGAATCCCCACGGTTTTGATCTCTCTCTCGCCACCTGAATGTCAGGGACTTTCTACAATCTTTGTCATGAGAGAGCTTTGTCGCTTAGTTTGCTTTTTAAAACTGACCTATGTGCGAAGTTCTGCAGTCAGATGAGGGGCGTAGGTGGGCCGCGAAGGGGGACTCGGCAGGCGGATTCTTGTGCCAGAAAAATAAGAGCCACAGAATTCAGTCTGTTGATGAGCTGAGGATCGGATTACGTTAAAGAAGGTCTGTGTTTGCAACAGAAGCTGGGCCTGCTGAGACCGGGCAGACGAGGGGCGTTTCTGGGTGTCCCACGGACAAGCCAGGACGAGCCCGCCCAAGAGAGCCACTGGAAATGGTGGGGAAGCTGAGGCGGCCAGGCCGGGACAGTGCCTCTGGCTATCTCGGGGACTGTCATGCAGGGGGAGAAGGTGTAGAGCCGGGGAGAGCGGGCAGGGCTGCCCAGCGAGGGAGAAGCCCAGCTCCACACCCAGGCTGCCGACCCTGCGTGCAGAGGCCGCAGGCAGCCCGGCCACCGCGGACCCTTCAGAACTTGCACACAGCCACCAGGGAGCTGGCGCCCTCGGCTGCTTCCAGCTCCCATGGGCGCCCGGTCTGCGGTGGGGCCTCTTCTTCCAGGCCACCATCCCCTGCAGAGGGGGTGTGGGGGTCTCTGCCCCTCCGGCCAGGCTGGTGGTGACGGTGGCAGGTCCCTCCTGCAGAGGTGTGGCAGTCCCCCCCCTACACCATCGCCCCAGAGAAGGGCTCCATCAGCATCACCTGCTCCACGCGTGAGCCTCTGCTCGGGGTCTACCTGAAGCAAAGTCACTGGCCCAAGCTGGCCAACGTGGTTTACTACGAGGACGGGAAGGAGCCCACCGTGTATGAGCTGTTCAAGGGCCGGGTCACCTTCTCGGGATCACAGCACAACCTGACCATCAGCGTGCACCACCTGCAGCCAGCCGACACCGGCACCTACGTCTGCCAGGCCATCGTGCAGGACGAGGTCTGGGGTCCCGGCACTTTGGTCGTGGTGACAGGTAGGGGGAGCACCCACCCTGAGACCACTCCACCCGCCTGCTGGCCAGGCCGGGCTCCGCCTGCCCCCATCCGGGCACCTCTTCTCCACACTTGCCAGAGTCCTTCCTTCCAGCTCCAGCCTGCCTCCTCCAGGGAGCCCCCTGGATTGCCCCTTACTTCAGGCCCCCTTCTTGCCCTGAATCCTGAAGGCACTCACGGACTCCCCAACTTGCCAAGTGTGTCCCTCTGTCTCTTCTTTCCAGACACATGCCAGGAGACCCAGCCGACACACTTCACCTTCCTTGTGGTCCTGGCTATGAGCTTCTTCTACATTGGTGTGGGGCTGGGGGCTCTGTGTGTGTTGATGAAGACAAAGGTCAGTGTGACCCCTTAGCTGTCTCCCGTGTCCCTGTAAGCCATCTCCTCTCAGGGAGCAGGGAGGAAAGGCGAGCGGTTAAGCCCCGGGGAGCTGGCCACGTGGGCAGCCCCGGTGCCCATGAGCCCCTTCTGTCAGGGTCCCCGAGAGCTCCCGGAGTCCAGGGTGGGGGGAATCCCGGAACTGGAAGTCTAGGGAGTCGGGGAGCGCAGGGGCAGGCACGGGGCCGGGACGTGTCTAAGGGGGGAGTAAGAGGAGGCCCAGAGAGTGCGGTGCCTGGGTGTGACGGAGCGGGCACGTGTGCGTGAGCACGCGTGTGTGCAAGGGAGGGTGAGGGCTGTGGGCCTGAAATCAGTGTGTGAGCGTGTGTGAGCTTGTGCCAGAGATGGCAGGGGAAGGGGCAGCAGAGACAGTCGGCCAGGCCCTGGTCACTCAGCTGTTTGCCCAGCTCTGTCCCCTGGCACCAGCCCAGGCCCCTCCCTGTCCAGGTCCCTGGGGCAAGGTCACTGCCACCCCCCACGCCCCACCACTGCCCCCTCGCCCAGGCTGGGGGCAGCTCAGGAGACCTGAGGGGCCGTGAACTGGCCTCATGCCAGCCTAGCCCTGAGGCGGGAGGCGGAGGCAGAGCCAGGCAGCAGAGTTTGACAGACAGATTTTATTTTTCAGATCAAGAAGCTCTGCCAGAGGAAGGATGAGAGTCAGGCGTGCGTGGTCTACGAGGACATGTCCTGCAGCCACCGCAGCAACGTGTCCTCCTCCAACCTGTACCACTGAGCGGGCGGCCCCAGGCCCATGGCTGGGGCCAGCCCTCCTGGCGCCTCCTACAGGAAGCCCTCCTCGCCTGCCTCCCCCTCTCAAAGCTGCCCTGCTCACCCTGCCCGCTGCCCCTGGCACCTCAGAGCCACCAGGGAGAAAGTCCCTCTGTCCTTCTGCTGCGCGTCCCTCACGGGGCGGGAGTTGGTTTCTCTGTCTGATGGGCTTGAAGCCGGGGCAGCGGGCAGCCTGGCAGAGGGCGGGGGCAGTCTTGCCACAAATAAAGTGTCCTTCTCCTCCCCCGACTCCAATGACCTCTTCTCAAGCAGACCTGGGCCCCTCGAGGCTCACGTTCTGGGCAGGGTGGCCTCCCCAGGAGGGGACAGGCTCCGGGGCCGTGTCCACCTCTCAGAGCAGGGCTGGAGGGACGGCCGGCCTCAGAGACGGGCAGCAGGAAAGAGGAGTCACCAAAACATCCACAAGAGCAGGTTAGGGATGAAACTATTGTCACTGACCCGAGAAACAGGTGGAGTGAGTGGCGGGAGAAGACCCCCAGAACGAAAGAGGGAGAGGGGACTCAGAGGCACAGGTAGTAGGAGGGACCCCTCCGCTGGGGGCCTGCAGCAGAGGGGGTGACGACAGCACTCCCAGGGTAGGGACAGTGCCCTCGTTAAAGAGCCTAAGCCTGGGCAGCCCAGGGACTAGCGCCTCGAAAGCAGAGGGAACCCCAAAACTCAGGTGACGTCAGACTTCTCAGAGGCAGCTCTGAATTCAAGAAGGCAGTGGGGTGATTCTCTGAAGCATCAGACGCAGGCAGGGGGCGGGGGCACAGGAGGCACCGGGCAGCAGGAGAGAGCGCCTGGCCTCTGAGGAGGGCAGGGGTGGGCCTGGGGTGTCCGAAAGCCGGCTCCGGCCAGGACGAAGCGGCCAGGACGAAGCGTGCCGGTTACTGGGGAGGCGTGGCTCGCTCACCTTGGCCCCTACAAACACAGGGAGCCTGGGAGTCCTGGCCTTCGAGGCTTTCAGGTTTTCGGCAAAAGGAAAAGGGGCGGCCGTGGCGGTGACACCTCACACCTCCCGCCCCCCACCGCAGGGGGGTGTCTGGCCCAGCAGCAGGGGGGTGTCTGAAAGAAATCCATACTCATTTCCTGCGTCTGCGATAGCGGAGAACAGCAAAGTGGCGCCTTAATTAAAACAAGACATTTATTTGCCCACCATCCCCAAGGCCAGGAGTTCAAAGTCAAGGCCAGGTGGGTTCCTTCTGGACGCTTGTGGCCTCCTCGCTCTGAAGAGCAGAGTGGCCCCTTCCCGTGTCTGCAGGGCTGGGTCCCCGTTTCTCCTTCCTTATAAGAACACAGTTGTACCGGATTTAGGGCTAGCCAGGGTGGCCTCACCTTAACGTGACTAAGGTTCCACTCACAGGTTCTGGGTGGGCGTGAATTTGAGGGCACACCATTCACCCCACTATACTATCCCCCTCCCAGACAGACAGCAAACGCTTCAGCCTGAATGCGGGGCTGCACGGCAAACCCGCCGGGCCCCCAGCGGGGTGGCTCCCCGAATCACTGCCGAACCCGCCTGGCCCCCACCGCCTCCACCTGGGAGGTGATGGGAGGCGGATTGGGGCTGGGGTATGGGGGGGCGGGCAGACCTGACCCCGGGTCACAGGCTCCTCTCAGGCTGCCACCCCGAGGGGTCACTGAAGCCAGCGCCAGCCCCTGTCTCACTTTGGGGACTTCCAGCCCTGCCACACACTGCGTTTGCTGTGAGTCAGCGTGGGGTCTCCTAGGGCAGGGACACCCAGCCAGGTCAGGGTCAGTGGGTGCTCAGCGGGAGGAACAAGCTGGGCCTGACTGACCGACGTCCGTGGGGCCACAACCGATTGGCAGTCCTGAGAGAGGCGCCAGGGGCAGCGGGGTCTTGTTCCTGCGAACGAGTGACTTCTGCGTCCACCCACAGATACTGACCGAGCGGACCCTGCACAGGCGAGGTCCAGGTGCTGGGGGCACAGCCAGGGCTCCTGTCCCCAGGCAGCGGGCACCTGGGAGGCGGTCAGGGATCAGGAGCGGGGGCAGGGACTGCGCCGGCCGCTGGGCTCCCCTGTGTCTGGGGCCTGGCAGGGGTGCAGGGCGGAGGTAGCACGGGGTGGGGGGCAGCAGGTCACACACTCGCTCTGGGAGAGCGGGGAGCATGGTGACCCATCGAAGGGATAACAAGGTCCCTCCGACTGGGGACAGAGGCGGCAGCGGGCAGTGAATCTGCCCAGGACAGCGGTGCAGGGAGCAGATGGAGGCTGAGGGCCATGAGAACGGTCAGCTCTGGATGCTGAGGGCCATGAGAACGGTCAGCTCTGGATGTTATCGGGGTTGAGGTCAAGGCTGGGTGGGAATGGGGGGTGGGGTGGGACAGCCGCTGCATGTGGGTGTCCTGGGAGGAGGGCTTCGGATGGACACTGGGCAGTGGCGGGGGTCAGAGTCCCTCGGGCCCCTCCCCGACGGGTCAGCCTGCAGGCCTGGGGCACAACAGGCCGTCCCCCACGCCGCTCCCGGTGGTGCAGAGCTGAGCTGCTGCGAACTGCCCACGGGCGCCCTTGCTTGACAGAGGCTGCGGTGAGGCTGCGGCCCCCGCTGGGGGGCGTGAGAAGGAGCTGCCAGAGCTGTGGCACCGCCCACCGGCTTCTCACACCCCCGGCCCTGCTCAGCCCTAGCCCTCGTCCTCCCCGCATCCTGCTACCCTTCTGGCTGTCCTCCCACCCAGCCCCCCACCGTAATAGTCCCAGTGGCGCCCACATCCGGTGTCTTTCACAGCTCTAAATCAGGTAACCAGCTAGTAAGTACAATATGCGTCCCACAAACCACAGCTACAGCAAACACATGCCCACAGCCACCTGCAGTGCGGGCCTGAGCTCAAGCCCCCGCTTCTGGGGGCGCAGTGCTGACGCTGGCCGGCCGGCACCCCTGTGCACCCTGCCCTGCCCCAGCCCTGCCCGCAGTCCTGCTGAGTCCAGGTGCCCCCACAGACCCGGAGCTGCTCTCACCTCAGCCCCGGCCTCCAGACCCTGGGCCAGCCCCCACCCGCCGCTTGTCTCCAGAGGGCTTTTCTACCTGCCCCCTCCCCTCCCCCTCCGTCATCCTCCTGCCCCTCCCCCTTTCCTCCCCTCCTCCTTGGTCCCCTGGCTGAGGGCGACCCTTTGCAGATCTTCCGATTGCCCTGCTGTCTGTGGACAGCATCCAGGGTCTTCCTGAGCCTCCCTGGTCTCCTAGGAACACACTGGCCATCAGCAGGTGGCCCGCCTACTCAGGTGACACACCCTGGCCACCTGGGGCTCCCCTCCCTGACAGCACCTTCCTGTCCTTTAGGCCCAAGCCATTGGCTTCACTGCCATTTAATGTCATTTAATCCAGTTAGTCCTCACAAGACCACCAGGCCTGCCAGCCCCTTTCCTAAAACCAAGCTTGAGCCGGAAGGAGCCAGCTGGGTGGCTGGTCCGGCCACCTTGGTCCCCACCCCGATGGGTGGCCAGGAAGGAGGGCTCCCTTCAGGAGAGCCCCCATCCTTGTGGACGGGGGTGAAGGGGGGACGGGGGTGGGGGGTGGGGGAGGGGAGTCGCAGCCAGGCCGGGTGGCCCCAGCTGCCGAAGCATTTCAGGAGCAGCCACAAAACTGCCACCTCCCATTCAGACCCGCAGCCCCAGGACAGGTGGGGGCGCTGCTTCAGTCAAAGACCTACAAGAGGGGCGGCGTGTCCCCACTGGACAGTCAGGGCACGGGCCGGAAGGCCAGCGGCACACGCTGCCGGCGCCCAGCTGACCGAGAAGGGCCGGTTTCGGTGGCGGGACGCGGGGTTGGATGACACCGCAGGCACCAGCTTTATTGCGGGGAGCCCGCTCCTGCTCCTGCTCCCGCTCCTGCTCCCCTTCCGCTCCCCAGGGGACTCCGCACATATCGGAGCACAGCAGGGGCCTCAGCCCCACGTGCGGGACACGGTAAACTGAAGCACGTTTACACGTTTTCCACGCAGGCGCCTGACTACACCATCGTCACATCCTAAATCTGGGGTCCTTCTCGGGGCCGCGAGCCTGGATCACAGCCAGACCTGGCACCAGCCAGACCTGGGACCCACACACGCGAATGACCAAGGCAGCTCCCGGGCTGGGCCTCAGGCCCGGCACCCCAGGGCTGTGGCCGGTCTCCTCTCTGTGCTGACAGCTCCCGCAGTCTTCGGGGAGGGCCTGAGGGGCGGGGCGTCCATGCACCCCATGCACGCGCCCCTCCGCGCCCTGGCCTGCCCGCAGCGCCCTCTTCTCTGTCCGCGGGAATCCTCGGGTCCCGGGGCAGGATTCCTCCATAGCACGGTGGCTAAGCAGGTCCTGAGGGGGGCGGGACCCCAGCGTGCGGCCCTAACCCACCTGGGTCCCCACTGCGCAGCGGCCTTCCTGCAGAGCCATGGGGCTCCCCAGAGGGCCGGCTGCCCTCTGGCGGTGGGAGGGGGCAGGCGCAGGGACTGGTCCAGCCAGCGGTTCCTGGCGTGTCACACCAGGTCTGGAAGGGAGCGCCAAATTCATGGAGTCCAGCCCCTTGTTGACATGTGGGGAAACTGAGGCCCAGGGGTGGAAGCTGTTTCTCCGCGGGCTGGGCGAGGGTCACAGGCCAGTGAGACGGGCTCGCCAGCTGTCACCCTCTCCCAGATAAGTGAGCATCCCCACGACATTCCGTGATGGTTTGGGGGGTCCAGAGTTTGGGAACTTTAAAAGCCCACCTGAGAGGCTGGGATTGTCGGGGTCGTTATTTGGGCGTGCACCCCAAAGCCAGTGATGTGGGAGCTGGAGGGCCCAGAGAGTGAGAGCCAACTCTTAACCGAGAACTCCTGAGCATGAGAGGGGCTGGAGGCGTGAGCAGGCAGGTCGTGAACAGGTGAGAAATGACGCAGACAGGACTGAAGATGCTCAGCCTCTCTCGTAATTAAAGAAACGCAGGTACGGCTGCCACGTGCAGCCTTCGCCCAGGAATTAGCAAGAGTGTCAACAACCCACCGCCCACACGGCAGGCTGTGGGGAGGCAGACCCGCTGCTCGTGAGAACTCGGGGTCATTGCCCAGAGGCAGGCCGGCCCAGGGCATGCTCACACCTCAGACTGGCGAAAGCTAGAGGGTTCGGGGTCACGGTTTGGTCCATTTCACAGTGCTCCGCAGGGGCCCGAGCCCTGCCGGGACTGGGACCGGGCTCCAGACTCGGGAAGGCCCCTCCTTCTCTGGGCGGCTGGGGTGGCCCCTGAGATTTGCCAGAGAGGAAGGAGTG